GAAACAGCACAGACATTAAGATAGAATAAGATAGGATCAGATCAGATGACAATTTATTGATCTCCACTCAGAGAAATTTGCCACGGGATGGCAAATACATACAGGAACACACACACACACACACACACACACACACACACACACACACACACACACACTTGTCAACACTCTCTCTCATCTCTCTCAATTTACAAAACCAGTACAAGAATGACTGTAGCTAAAACACAGACAGATCATAGAAAACGGGTACACAAATGAACGTAACACAAACTAGACAGACAACATTATGTAACAAATACAAAAAGACAGAAGATGTACTGACTTTTTTTCTTTTTTTTTTTTTAGTTTTAGTAAGTGTTTTACGGCACTTGCAACACAATAAGGTTATATAAATGCCGAAGATTAGAGGTGTTACAAGAGAGTAACAAAACATAAAAAAGAGGGAGAAGAGATAAGGACGATAGATCTTCTTCTTCTTCTTCTTCTTCTTCTTCTTCTTCTTCTTCTTCTTCTTCTTCTTCTTCTTCTTCTTCTTCTTCTTCTTCTTCTTCTTCTTCTCTTCTTCTTCTTCTTCTTCTTCTTCTTCTTCTTCTTCTTCTTCTTCTTCTTCTTCTTCTTCTTCTTCTTCTTCTTCTTCTTCTTCTTCTTCTTCTTCTTCTTCTTCTTCTTCTTTTTCCTCTTCTTCTTTTTCTTCTAATAATAATAATAATAATTATTATTATTATTATTATTACTATTATTATTATTATTATTATTATTATTATTATTATTATTATTATTATTATTATTATCATCATCATTATTATTATTATTATTATTATATTATTTTATTATTATTATTATTATTATTATTATTATTATTATTATTATTATTAACAATATTTACAACAATTATATAATAATAAATATACACAATAATAATAATACATGTACTAAGAAGAAGAAGAAGAAGAATGATGATTATAACAATAATAGTTCAAGTGGTTATGTCGCGCTTGAAGAACTAGGCACTGAAATAATAAAGCTCCTAAATGCTGTTGATGACATGACAGCGGTGCCAGAAGATATGATGAAGTCAGTTTTTATAGCTTTACTAAAACACCAGTTGCCACTGAGTGTGATATTATGCATAGAACAATTATCATAGCCTGAAGAGTCATTTTACAAAAAAATATTGCTGCGAGTAATAATGGGAAGATTGAGAAAAAGTGTTAGAAAACCAGAGATATCTCAAACTAAAACACAATCCGACTTTGTTCCTGACAAAGGCAGCAGAAATGCTATATTCACCTTAACAATGTTAATGGAAAGATGTATTGAAGCACAGAAAGATATTTATGCTTCATAGATTATTCAAGGGCGTTCGATAAAGTTAGACATGAGAGCTATTTCATTAAAATACTGGAAAAGCTAGAGATAGATGGATAAGATCTAAGAACTATCAGGAATTTGTACTGGAACCAAAACGTTACTACACGAAGTAATGGAGAATGCAGTGAAAAAAGCAGATTGGAAAAGGAGTGATGCAAGGAAGTGTTATGTCACCAGACCTCTTTAACATGTACAGTGAAACAATCCTTGGAAACATAGAAAAATGTCCAGGTCTCAAAGAAAATGGAGAAAATATTAATAACATCAGATGTGCGGATGCCACATTTTTAATAGCGGGCTCAGAAAAGGACCTTCAATAATTGTTTCTATAAATAATGTTGTTAACAGAAAGTGAAAGTAAAGTATTAGTGTTGAATGTAAAGAAACAACAGAATGCATGGTAATATAAAAAAAAAGCAGCAAATCATAGTTGTAATCTCATTACCAAAGATGAAAAGATCAAACAAGTCCAACAGTTTAAATATCTAGGATATATGATAACGTCTGATGCTAAATGTGCCACTGAAATAAAACGGAGAATTACAATGGCTAAGGCTAGTTTAAGTAAAATGAGCCCAATCCTGAAAAATAGAAACATCTCAATGACCACCAAAATGAAAGTTCTAAAATGCTGTGCATGGTCAACCCTTCTGTATGGCTGTGAATGCTTGAAAATCACTAAAGACAGTAAAAATAAAATAGAATAAACAAAAATGTGGTTTCTAAGGAGACTGCTATAGCGAGGAAGGAAACGAAATCAAATGAGGTATAATATAGTGCTTGATGAAGCCCACATGGGACGCTGATCACTTTAACTTTAAAAACAATCAGGAAACGACATTTTTGGGACACCTGAATAGACATAAAAGGATAAACATCTAGCTCTCACTGGCAAAATGGAAGGCAAACGAGGCAGGGGTAGGCCCAGAACAACCTACTTAGGGGACCTAAACAAATGGGTAACAACAGGGAAAGATAAGAAAATCGTAGCTTTGTTAAAAGCATCCGATCAGAGGAATGAATGGAGAACCATGATCGCCTTGCACAATGGTTGCTCTGAAACAACCCAACAATTTCTCACTGATCTGAACAAGGTGCACCACTACATCAAATTTACTTATTCCAG